GGACCGAGAGAGGGAGCTGTGTCTGAGGAGACGCCAAAATCCCCCTTAGCGGTGCCTGCGGGAGGGGGAGGGGGCACAAGATGGCGGCGGCCGGGGGGGCGGGAGTTCAGCTCATGGATCCCGGCGGGCGGCGGAGGGGAGACCGGGCCGGCGGAGGCGGCAGCGGCAACGGGCGGGGGAGGGGGCCGATCCCGCGTCTCCCCTCGGCAGACAATACAAGCGCCTCGGAGCGAGTCCCCGAACCTGCCCTAGCCAAAATGGCGGCCGAGAAAGAGCGGAAGTGACGTAAGTAGCTCATTAGCATAAGAGGACTCATTGTCCAGCCAAGTGGGGGGGGGAATGGGGGACTGCACCCCTTCCCTCCATGCCCTCTAGGTTCAACTCTCCTACTTCCATCTGTGCTTGTACCCAACTTTTCTTGGGGGGGGAAGAGTGCCCCCAGCACCCCCACCCCCGCCTAAGGGAAATTATATAATCCCCACTGAGGGGGAGCTCTCGCGAGAACCTGGAGCATTTGCCATTGACCCACTAGGAGGCGCCGCAGATAATGGCCGCAGTGCGCTCCCAGGCCCCGTGTGCTTGGCGGGCGCCTTCCTCTGGCCGCAGCGCCAGCGGCGGAGGCAGAAGCAGCGGGCCGCAGCACGCCCAGCACTCAGTCAGGTGGCCGTGCTGGGGATCCCTGCGCGGGCCCAGCTGAGCCTGGACTACATCTGGAAGGAGGGGTGTGCGGGGCAGTCCCGGGCAGCTCCACGTGCTCCGAGGCGCGCGCTCTCCCCGGCTGGGAGGCAGCTGCAAGGGGCAGGGACACCTGCCTTAAATGAGGCGTGCGGGCCTCGTGCTTCACAAGCCCACGTGAGAGGAGGGCAAGCCCCGGGCCCTGAGCCCTTCCTGGTGAGGTGGGGTATTCGGTGGACAAGGGCTGCATTTTACAGGTCTGCTGTCGCCTGGGACTTGACATTCTTCCAACTCAGTCATGGACTCTTCTCTTTGGCCTGAAGAAAAGTGGAATCCCAAGCGTTCTGAGACCACTGGACTGGTGAAGCCGAAGGATGAAGTGATGTTGCCAGTGGCCCTCCAGATCCCTAAGAACACTGTAACCCTAGGGCGGTACGTTTTAGTGCTCCCACAATCTGCATAGCAGGACAATGCGTGGACAGAGTGCTTCCCAAGTTAGGCCGCTCCCAACACCTTTGCACCTTTTATGGTAGAGTGCACCTGAGTGTATCATTGGTGAAACGTACTTAAAAGTAATAAATACCGTTGGTGAAGGGTTAACTGAGGCGAGTTTTTCAAGGTGTGGTCAGTAAATACACCCCTTACTATTTCTTTAAGTTTACAAGTTAAAATAGTTTCAAATACTTAACATCGCAAAAGAATCTAACAAACTAGTATGAATTGTGGTTAACTATACTCAACGTCTAAGCCTTTGGTTAGCAAGTTTAACTTTCATCCAACACACTATTCCATTAATTTCTGCAATTCCGTTAACATCTTTAAAAGCCAATCAGTATTTCAACAGAAAACAGGAGCTGGAAGAAAACAGGAGCTGGAAAAGTTGTCTGTGATAGGGGAAAAGAGAAAAGGAAGGAAGGAATAGCTAAGATAGTTGTACTACTGTGATAGCTAAGATAATTATATTACTAATTTCTATTAGTTCATTGAAAGGAACAGTTAGTGTTTCTCGTTTAATCAATCTTACATGCCTGTACCTGGTAATCTGAGCAACTACTATGAAGATAATATGCAATACAATAACCATTGTTAATTTCCCATCATCTTGTTTTGAAATTCTGTATCGTTTTTATTGTTGTTTTATTATCTTAAAAAAAAGGAAGCCATAAAAATAGACAGTAGGGAAGGCTTGGGGCATTTGACCAGGAAGGTGTAGAACCTACATACTGCATAATACAGGCAGAAAGCTACTATGAAATAAGCCAAATAAGGTAATCTTTTAGTTTTCCTTAGATATACTTAGATTTCACACAGTGATAATACAAATACAAAGGAAAAACATCTGGATTCTATCATTGGCTTCATGAAGCAAAAAAGGATGCTGTATTCAGACGTAAATGTCTAAAAAGATTTTGCAGTGTTTATGTCAGATTTACTACAAAACTGCATCTCAATAGTCCAGGTTCTTTTCTAAATGACTTCCAAATAGCCTTAGTTCACTGCTTAACTCCAACACTGATTAAGTATTGGAATAATTATGGGAAGACTGAAAAGATTAAAAACACAAAAGTTGGACCAGGGATATAGGTCAGTGGTGCAATGCCTGCCTGGCAAGCTTGAGGTCCTGAGTTCGATTCCCAGTAACCACCCCCACCCCCAAAGGACAAAAAGTTATCTACTCTAGTGAGGTATGAAAGCAATGCGTTACAGTAAGGTTCTCTGAAGTGGTTAATTTCTGCTCCACATACTTCATACTGAAAAACTGGCTTTAAAGAGAATAAATTCTCAGCACTCCAAAATATTGAGCACTTTATAATTCTGTTAACTATAGCTTAAAACTAATTTTGCATGAAGCACTGATGAATTTTCTAGTTATTATTAATAATGAGAGAAGTCACTTCCCCTAGGAAAACTGATCCCTGGTGGGCCAGCTGAATGGCTCTGGGCAAAAGAGAATCATAGTGGCTCTTACTGGAGTGTGTATTACAGATTTATAAATGTTCAAAATGACAAAGGTTTTAGTTTTATTATTTTTTCTGGTAAGAGCACAGAAAAATGCAAATGACTTATCAGACTTTGTTTTGTCAGCAAATTAAGCCCCAAAATGTAAATAGACATACTGTTCACCAAATCTGAGTAACTCACACTATTCTTTTTACTTGCAAAGGAAGGTCAACTAAGCTAATCTGTTCAAAGTATGTTCTTACTCAAATTTTAAAAATACATGACCCAAACTATGCTACAGTTAGAAAATAATTATTGTTTTTGAAATACCTATGTTAGAGAAGGTAGATAAATATTTGCTCTGGCTTTATGGAATACAGGTATCATATAGTAAATACCATATATATATTTCATAAGCATAATTAACATTCCTCTCCCAACATCAGGCATGAAGAGCTATGAATTGTTTTAATAAAGACTATTTCAGATTCTGTTCCATATAAGAAATTCTGCAACCATATATTCTAAAGAAACCAACAACATTTAATACAAAAACCCATGTGCATTTATTTACAGGTCTTAATACAGCAAAATATAAATGCAAATTGAGAGCAATGCTCAATTTTAAAATGTAGATTGAAGTAAAAAATGGAGTTTCTGCAGACAACGTATTTGTATAAAATTTACCTTACCTTATGGTTTATGCTCTAAGAGAACATGTTATAACATTCAGTAAGAGGACTCCTTTTATATTTCAACTGAAATGAACATGGGAAGCAGAAATGAGTAACTTTCTTTTATGTAGTAGCAAAGAGAGTCAATAATCCTTTCAAGAAAGAGACTATTTCGTTTCCTCCCAACTTGGATTCACCATAAAGACGATCCACAAATGATATTGGAACCTGGTTTAAAAAAAAAAAAAGTACATGTTAAAGTCAATCTCAAAAAAAAAAAAAACAAAAAACAAAAAACTAGAAGGGAAGCTTAGCAGGTGTACATTCATTACTACAACAGAAGTGTTTCATGTTGGTTGAGAATTTGGGGATTCTTACAGCACTCATGTGTCCAAATTAAACACGTACTTTATTATCTAAAAACAGGTCATATGAACCAAATCTAAAACTGAAAAAGCACAGATGATGAATACTTTGTTGGTTTACTCAAGTTTCAAGCTGCATTTCAAGAACAACTATAAAGGTAAAGTGGCCTTTCATTTAGTTTTCTCAGTTTCTGAAGTTTAGCTATCAATGTTTTAGCATTAAAATCTTATAATTTCCATAAGAGAAGCTGCATACTAGGGTAGCTGTTTTCCATGGCAGTGTTTTAGTTAAGAATCTTGGGGCTGGGGATTTAGCTCAGCGGCAAAAGCGCCTGCCTGGCAAGCGCAAGGTCGTGAGTTCGGTTCCTGGTACCAGAGAAAAGCCAAAAAAAAAAATCTTCCCTAAGAACTTACTAGCAACATATCCACCAAGCCCTTGGCTCTATAATTCCTGGCCATTTTCATTTACTCACAAGAAATGGGCATACAGGATTCGATTCATCATTCTGTTTAAAGTAGGGTGGTATGTTGGTTACAAGAGGAAAAGCAGCTAACAGACTCAAACTATAATATTGAGTGGTCAGAAGAAAGGATTAATTTTTTAATTTTTTTTTTTTTTTTTTGGTTTTTCTCCGGTACCGGGAACTGAACTCATGACCTTGCGCTTGCCAGGCAGGCGCTTTGCCGCTGAGCTAAATCCCCAGCCCCCAGAAGAAAGGATTAAGATAGAAGAGTACCTTAACTTTTAATGATTTAAAGGAAAAAGCTGGGGTTTGAGATGTAGCTCACTCTTTGCCTACCTATGTAGGCCCTGGGTTTGACTGCTAGCAATGAAGAAAAAGAGGACAAGATGCTTTTAAGGTACAGTAAGTGAAACATAGTAATTTAAAAAGAATTTGAATTTTCACCCATTAATGCATGGGCATTTTAAACAACTGGCCCACACCATTAGTAGTTATGAAAGTTATACTTTTCATCACAAAAGTCTATACCTTACTGTTCCTTTCTGAGGATTATGACACATAAGCATCAGTTACATACCTCACCAACAGTGTAATTCAGTTGCCTTGCTCGAACAATCATCTCCATCTGGAAGACGTAGCCTTTAGAAACACATTTTTCTATTAACTTCTGTAGAACTTCTTTTTTGTACAATCTGTAAGGAATCACAATATAGACGAAAATCTGGTAAGTGTACTTGTCTACATGTATTTGCAACATTCTAGGAGTTCACTGATAAAAATGCTAAAATACTAGCTAAAAGTTCTCATAGTTGATGACAATGATGCATTTGTCCCAAAGACCATAAAGTTTGCCAGTTAGCTTAATTCTAAAAATCAGTCCACTGATTGGCACAGTTCTCGCTAGGATTAAGGGTGTGAGTGATACACCTAACCCAGGGCAGACAGCCTGCATACAATATAAGGGACAGAAAAGGCTTGTCCCACCTGGCGTGGTGGTGGTGGTGGTGGTGCAGGCCTGTAATTCCAGGAGGGTGAGGTAGGATGATCTGTGAGTTCAAGGCCAGCCTGAGCTACACAGTGAGACCCTGTCTCAACAGCCTCACCACCCCATCACGTTACTATTATCCCCTAGTTACTGCAGACTGATCAGGCCCACAGTCTCCCAAAAGAGTGGACAGCAAAGGCTTAAATAAAAGTCAAGTGGTTTGAATTTTGGGCTCCTGGAGGTTCAAAACCCTCTAACAGAACTTAAGATTCTCTGGGGCTAAGACAAAGATCTTCTCTGGGCAGATGTATTTATTATATTACCAAAACAAGGTGGAGAATACTGAAGAAAGGTGGCACTCGGCCTTGAACAGCTGGGCCATCCATGACCTTGGAAGTGCACTTCAAGGGATTCTCCAAGTAAGACAATATGTTAATTTAGGAGAACTATGTTATCTCCAGGAAGATCTTACCCAGGAGTGAGATGCCTGCAGGTAGTCTTTATCTAATTAATAAGAGGCTGGAGCCAAGTGCCTTTAGCTGTGGCCTTGTCTTGTCCTTTGAGGCAGCATGACTTCACCCACCAGTACAGGCCTCTCAGTAGGGACCAGTGACTCACAAATAAACATGGAAAGCCAACTGGTTAACTGAAGTCCTGCTCAGAGCTGCTTTGTAATGGTCTCCATCACCCCACCCCACCCCCGCTTAAAAAAAAAAGATGCTTGTCCCTCTCTTTTGCTATCTTGTGGGTGCCATGAACTATTATCCTCTGTGATGGCCCTCTGTCAACCACCCACCCTTGGAGCCAGCCAATTATGAACTGAAACCTCTACAATTGTGAGCCAAATAAAGCTTCTCCCCTTTAGCTCTGGGTGTTGGGTATTTTGTCTCAGCAAGAAAAAAGTAACTAAGACAGCAATTGCCAGATATGGTGAAACAACTACATACACTGGATGACAAATATCCAGTAATTAGCAGAAATTTCCTTGAAAATGTCTATTTCCTAGCATTTACTTCATAAATTCTCTAGGATAAAGGAAGTCCCCTAAGTTGAGGTGTTTAAGCTGGTTTAAAACAGGACTAGGTACCTTAGGATGGAGGCGACCAAAATAGCGGTCACCCAATTTGCAAAGTAAGATGGTGGGAAGTTTTGCTGGAGAAGCCATTCACTTTCTTCAGTAACTTCAAATAGTAGGGAGCTTCCTTCTTGTCAGAGGGTTTTATTTTTACTTAAATCAGTAAGTACTGAGGTACCAATTTCTACTTTTATTTAGAAAGCTAGGAGAGGTGGAATAGTTCTTTTTAGAAGTTAAAATCATCCAGACTTAAAATGCCTAAGGATGTCATGTGGAATCCAGATTTGCAGGCTTTTTCTAAGAATACTCTACCTTTTGGCTTCTAGTTGGGTAGGCAACAGATAGCACAGCCCATAGAATAACCTAAGAGAGCTTAGCGTGTATATTCTTGTATCTACAGAGATCCCATAAAAAGAATTTAAAGAAGTTTGGAATAAATATGGCAAGAAAACATGCTGACAGTAGTATTTATTATTCATTCAGTAATGCGCTGGGGCTGGGAGAAGGGACTGTGGCAGCAATGGGACATGCTATAATATTAAAAATGTGGGCTCGGGCAATTATTTCTTTTCCTTTAAGAATAATTTTCTACGACATTTTTTCTCACTGCCTTCTCTTCCCCCTCCCCACAGTATCTTTAAACTTATGGCTAATGAAATAAAGTTATGTTTAGGTAGGCACATGATCCCATCAATAGGATTAGGAGCAAGGGGGATTTAGTATTAAATTGCTTTACATGAGACTGTCATGTGAGATTCCTTTTCTTCTTTAGTAAAAGGTACTGCCCTCCTAACTCTGTGGATCTAAGGACAATGAATTCTGTTCAATGATAAGCTGAACTTTACGTATTTAATAAACCACTACTTTCATGAGAAGACAATGGGAATTAACCTTTTAAAATCGGAGACGTGAAGGGGCCACTTTTGTGTTTGGCTCCTCTGTCACTTGTACAGCACACAGCCCATCACTGCTGTGCTGAGAGCCAGCGCTCCCCAGCCGTCGGTCATCTTCACTCCCACACGGTTCCGGGCCTGGCAAGGCCTCTCACTCCCCTCTCGCTGCGCGCCCTCTATCCCCACAACCCACGTGGCTACCTGGGGGCTTCACTCAAACCATCACAACCGAGCCCTGTGCAGCTCACGCTGGCCTTTCCTTTTTTGTAGTGCCACTACTCACTCTGCACTGCTGCTCCATGGCAGTCAGAGATCTTAACCAGATCACATGGGATTCTTTTGCCTTAAAACTGGGACTAAAGGGGTCTATTCATTGGGTTCCTTTCTCTTATGTACACTGAGCTCTGCTGTCTAACTTATTTTTTAGTTCTAGGGGCTTCATTTTTCCTTTTATCTGGCATTCAACACCCAGCTTCTCATTTGTGTATGCTTTAAGCCCCTGAGAATCAACATCATCTAATGGACCACAGCAAATATCAAATAATATAAAAGGCAATATTTAGTGATTTGGCCTGGCCATAAAAAACAGTACACCTTTACTGGAACAAATCTAGAACACCACACACATAAACCCTCAGAAACAAACACAAAAAACCCCAGGGAGCTGGGCCTGGTGCACGCCTGTAATCCCAGCACTTGGGAGGCTGAGGAAGGAGGATCACTGTGAGTTCGAGACCAGCCTGGGCTACAAAGTGAGCTTAAGGCCAGCCTGAACTGCATGGCGAGACCCTGTCTCAAACACACACACACACAAAAAAAAAAAAAAAAAAAAAAGCCAGAGACCAAATCTTTGGTCCAATTAAAACCAGAAGGCATGGGGCTGGGGATTTAGCTCAGTGGCACAATGCCTGCCTGGCAAGTGCAAGGTCATGAGTTTGATTCCTGTTACCGGAAAAAACAAACAAACAAACAAACCCCCCAAAAAACCAGAAGGCAGGGGTGGGGGGACATGGGGAGGTGTAACTCAGTGGTACAGTCCTTGCCTACATGTTTGACCCTGGGTTCCCTTCCCAGTATTGCAAAAATAAGAAAAGTAAATCAAAAAGTTTAAGTAAGAAAGATTTTAAACTTTTCTGCAGATAATGCTGCATTTATACAAACTGTAGAAACTACTGAAATCTGCACTATTCTTTGGAGTACACATCCGTTACCAGCAATGTTCCAGAGGAGTAGCTAAGCCTCATGTTTGTGTGAATAGGAACATTCAGCTCGGCCCTCTATATTCAACTTCTTAAGAAAAATACTTCTGCTTAAGATATTTAGGCTTCACTAGCAGCTTCTTAGGAATTTCCATTTGCTTTTATAGCATTCCAGAACAAAACCGGGTGGAATGAAAAGTATTCCTTTAAAATAGCCATTGTAACACATGAAAGTTAGGCGAGATGTTACAAACAGCAGAAAACTGTACTTACCTGAAGCTTCCCGTTAAATCAGATGCTCCTGGTCTCAGCAAAATCTGAGTTATAAAATTGGCCCCACGGCTGCCAGATAAAACAATCAGATTTTTCTATTAAATACAATTCATAAATGTAACACAATTGCAAAAAATGTTAATTCTGTACAACAAAGAAATTTTTAGTGAAATGATATCTGATACTCATTTTTCAGGAAATAGGGACTTTTATTCTCTGAAAATTAAATTTAGGGGGGACCTACAAAGCAATCATGTCCCAAATTTCAGGAACGGAAGTTACAGAACTGGTACTTACCAACAGTCATCAACTAGACTTATGAAGTCATTATCTAGAATTGTGGACAGACACCTGCCTCAGGCAGGGAAGAGATTACTGATTTGATAAGGAATTTGTTAAACAAGAAAAGGTAAGGTTTGTTAAAGACTTTCCTTTTCTTTTTTTTGGTTTTTCTCCGGTATCGGGAACTGAACTCACGACCTTGCGCTTGCCAGGCAGGCTCTTTGCCACTGAGCTAAATCCCCAGCCCCAAGACTTTCCTTTTCAATTTCTGGTCAAGAACAAAGAGATAATACCTCAGCTCACAGAAAAATGGTACAGTACTTCTCAAGAAGGTAAGCAAGTAGGACAGCCTCTTTGTTGTTTTTTGTTTTGTTTTGTTTTTGGGTGATGTCTGGAAAGGGACTTATTCCAGACAGTAGTGCTAGTCTGCCTGGCCAGTGCAACCAAATACCTTCCAGTGCTGGGCTTAAACAGTGGAAATTTCTTTCTTAGTTTTAGAGGCTGGGAACTTCACAATCACTGGCTTGCTATATCCTCACCCAGAGCAGAAAAAGAAAACAAGTCTTTGGCCTCTGCTTAAGAAAACACTAATCCCATTAAGGAGCCTGCCCACAAGATATCTTCTAAACAACCTCTCAAAGGTCCCATCTCCAAATTCCAAAAGGCTTTAACATGAATTTGGGAGGAACACAAACAGTCCATCACTAAGAGTGACTTTTGTTGAATTGCTTTAAACACATAGGGTATAGACTACTAATGTGTGTCACACAGGGAGAGCCAACGGGAGTGCGCGGGAAGCAGGTCTCTGGTCTCTACTTACGAGATCAGTAAGTCTGTGCCCTGTGCAGCTCACACTGGCCTTAACATCATGGGGTCTGCCCACATGACATCTTCTAAGTGCCTCTCAAGGACCCATCTACAAATTCAAGACACTGGGGGTTCACAAACAATCTTTAACAATGAATTTGGGGTGACTGCTTCAAACACAACTAATATAGACTATTAGTGTCTAATAGATATTAACATTTGAAAAGATGCCAACTGCCTAAAGAAAGCAACTTTTGTACTTCAGCTATTTAATACGTTCAGATTCAGAAAAAAAGTTTTCTGTGAGGGACTGAAGTGAATAGTTTCTAAAGCTGTAGAGAGCCTCCCTAGGTCCTCTTCCCGGCCCAGAAAGTTTGTATTTGCAATCCCATGGAAAAGTTACTGGAATCCACTCATGTTAATTCCAATCTACCACTCCCAGTGCAACCCACAGCGTAAATAAAGACACAATAATATATCCAAAATGGTGGGGAACCAAGGGGGTCCTACGTCCAGCTAAGATGAAGTTTAACTGGAACAAAAAGCCTCGACCCATGATCTAACCCGGATTGTATTTATTCATGAAGAAGGGAGTGGCTTGGGGATGAGTGACCATGGGAGTGGCAAGAAGTACGTGGGAGCAGCAGGAAGTACCTGAGTGCTGTGAGCTGGACTAGGTAGGAGGCCCGAAATCACCTCTGCAATACTGAAAGGATCTGCAGAAAGAGTAATCTGCGTAACACAACTGATATAGCAGCTAATGTCTTGGGGTCCTGCTTTAGCTCCGATGTGTCATCTTCCAAGCCCCAGGAAGTTCACAGCCTCTTTTCTTGAGGCTCTCCATTGCGGAGACAGCGTGGCACACTGTCTTCATCTGGCCTCCTCCCAGTTCACACGTTTTATTTGGGAGCTATGTGGGGCTGGGGAAACACTCTGCTGTCTTTGCTTCAAGGACCACATATCAGCACCTCAGCTGCGCCAATATACATCGCTTAAAGCTGATAAAGGGATAAGGAAAAGTCCTAGCCAGCTCTGTACTTATCGATACATGGAAATAGGGTCAGGTTCAGCCAAAATAGAGACAACTGCTCCTCCTTGAAGAAGAGTCATCCAGGTGGTTCTCCAGACAGGCCTTGTCAGCAAATATTACCTTTATACAAACCACAACGTTAGGGGCTACCTCTGACCTGATAGCTAACAATTTTCCCCCCCTTCAGTTTGTTTCTACTAGCTATAAAAATATTCCTGGACGGGCTGGGGATTTAGCTCAGCGGCAAAAGCGCCTGCCTGGCAAGCGCAAGGTCGTGAGTTCGGTTCCCGGAGAAACCCCCCACCAAAAAAAAATATTCCTGGACAGTTTACCCCCCAAAAGTAGATTTAAGGAAAGGAATATGTATATATATGTGCATATGTAGTTGTATATCTTGCAAGGTAGTACTTATTTTTATTTTATTATTTTGTCTAGACACACCTGTGTTGGCCAGGCTGGCTTTATACTCCTAGGTTTAAGCAATCTTCCTGCCTTGTCTCCTGAGTAGCTGGGACTACACAGGTGTGCACTACCTCACCAGGCAATGTATTTTTAAACTAGACAGCCCACGTTTGAACTCTACTTCTGTAATACAATGTGGACATTAACAACTATTAACCGTTACAACTAAATGACACAACTGAGAGGTTGTAATGTTTCTGGGATGCCTGATTTTCTATAACGGGTGAATGGCCACATTCAGAGTGCCTTTGGGGATCACTGACTGCACAAGAAATATCTGGAAGCCTATGAAAATGCCGGTGCCTACAGCCCATGTTTGGGGTCTTATTCACTCATACAGTGGTAGTTTTTCATGGTTTTCTCTATACACGATTCCAATGTTTAGCAGGATAGAAAACGACTGCCTTATTTAACCCAGTTTATTTCATGGGTGTTTGGGCTCTTACATGTTTTACATGACTGCCCCAAGCGTCTACAGCTGAGGCAGAACTGACATGAACTTAATGAAATCTTAAATAGGAATAAAGTGAGTGATAAAAGAAAGACATTAATGATAGGAATACATATATCTCATTTCCCCATAACCCTGAAAGGTACGAGGGAGATAGATTAAGTATAATAAAAATTCAAGGAAATGCAGGGAATATAGTTAATTAAATGACAAATAGGATTTTTACCTAGGTCTGACTCCAAAGCCATTACTTTATGCTGCTCAATTAAATATGAAATCATGAATTGTCTTGTGTACTTAAGGTTGCTGAATATGTAAGTGTAAGGAGAAAACCCTACTTATTTAGTCCAGTAATATAGTCAGTTCACTTAAATTAACTGAAGATCAAGTGGAGAAACTACTGCTGAAAGAGACTGTTCCTACCAAAGAAAGATTCAAAGGTCTGCAATGATTTTTTTACTCAGTGAAAAACACAAAATAAAAGAAGCAAAGGAAGCACTGTAGTTAAAAAGCTATCTGGGAATATTTACTAACAGTGATAATCTGAATCCAAGGCAGCATGATAATTTGATTCAAATACTACATTTCTAGTGGTTACACCAATAACAATAGCACATGTATATATACCTGATTATTTTTCTTTTCAAGTCCCAGCCATATACACCTCCATTTCCTTTGTAGCGAGTTCCAGAGACAATATCAAAATTACCCTCCTTTTGTTTTCTGTAGAAAAGAATAATAGTGTCAGCTGTAAAAGCTCTTGCTTCAGCAGGAACCTCCATAAGCTACACAGAGGGGACTTTAAAGAGAAACTGAAGGGAAACAATCCCAATGTGACAGACAGACTAGCTATGAAAAGACCTTTCAAAATGGGGGTTTCAAACCTGATCCTATGTCACTTGTAACTACTCTTGAGAAAAAAGAGAACTACATGATAGTAATACTTGATGTCTGCATCATGTGACATCATCCTAAAGGTATAGGAAAGTTATCAATTTTCCCAGAACCTTTTCTATTCTGCTCATACCCTTGCACTCCCTACTCAAGTAAACACAATACAAAACCAGTGCAGCAGACCTCCATATCCTTCTCTAGGCTTATAGAAAACAATGAAAGACACACATCTTTCCAGTTTTTGGCTCCATTTACAAAGTTGAAATCCAAAAAAGTACATTTTGTAACTTGCTTTCTGTCAGTTAACACACATCGTAGAATCATGGACATCCCCACGGGTCAGTAGAGACCTTCCCCATTCCCTGTAATAGCTGCAAGAATAGTAAAGACTATTTGACTAAGACCTCTGTGGCTGTTTTCACAGTAGGCTCTCTTTCCTGAAATAACAAAACCACAATGAATAATACCGTAACAAAGAGAGATTTCTGAGATATTGCTAGAAATTATTTTTCAAAGGTTATAGCAACTCACTTTGTTCAGCAATCTTTGAATGTATCCATTTTTTGCCATCTTAAGAGTACCAGATATTACTTCTCTAAAAGTTAATTTTGACAAACCAGTGGGCAGTAATTATTTTAATTTGCACTTCCTCCACTATAGTCCTACGATAAACATCCATTATGTTAGCCATCTGAATTACATAAGGCCAGCTTGTATCTTTCCGCGATTTTCAACTCTACTGGTTCCATCCCATTACCAGGCCAAAGATGTATTTGAGTATCAGATATATAAGTAAAGTGGGTCTAAGGTGACTTTATGGAGATCAAAGCATGAGCAATGGCTATTAAGAGAAGGGAGAGAGTATTTCAAGCAAAGAACATACAGCTCCATGTTAACTAAGAAATGAAAGGCCATGCCTGTGGCCTGGAAAGCAAAGGGAAACGGGCACAAGGCCAGGTCAGAAGGCAGCGATGGGGGAGGTTTCACACTGTCATCTTCTGTGGTCTGAAAAAATTGAGGCAACAAAGACATGATGTTATTTGTCCTCAGGTCTCCTAAAATACATCATTAACTATATATCTATATTTATGAGCCCCAAATCTATATTTTGGTTATATTTTTGATAGAAAACTTAAAATAGCAAAGTATAAAACCAATAAGATAACTGGTTTCAAGCATCATTTTTCCAAATATTAGAAATAGTACCTACCTAATGAATTCAGGAATAAACTTTGGCTGAAACATGGAAGGAAGAAATAGTTAGTAAAGTAGGATAAGACTATCATAAATAACTAGTGAACAAGGATGTCACTTACATGGTGTGAGAGATCAGCATCCATAATAATTATATAGTTTCCTGTGGCATGTTTCATTCCATGAATATATGCAGTTCCTGAAAACGAAGGCACTTACATTCATTAAAGAAAATCATCAAAAATGTTTAGCTATATAGCTGAGTAGAGGACACATACTGCTGAGCACTCAAAAACCCCATGTTAGTCTCTAAAAGCAATACTAGTAAATGGTACCTTTCCATTTAAGTATATAGTTCATATACGTCACAAATATAGGGCTGGGGATATAGCTCAGTGGCGTAAGTGCCTGCCTGGCAAGTGCAAGGTTGTAAGTTCAATTCCCAGTACCGCAAAAAAAAACCCAAAAAAAAACAAAAACAAAAAACCAAAAAAAAAAAACCATATATATATATATAAAATCAAGCAGGTAGCTGGTCACCCACTTCCCATCCTGATGCCAATGTAATAGAAAAAAAAATCACAGAGTAGTTCACTCAAGCAATGAAAACTTACCAGTCTTAGATTACATAAAATTATCATTCTCATGGTTTTAAAAACCATCTTCATGTTGGTGGTTCCTCAGTATCTACGCAAGACACTAAAGAAGCCAGACCTCTTCTTAGATCTCACATTACATATCAGCTTCCTACTTGGATATTTTAGAAATCTCTAATATAACATTCCAAAATAATGACTCCAATTCCTACCCCTGTAACTGACCACATCTCAGAAAATGTCACAAACGGACAAGTCAAGCGATGATCTTTGATTTCCTGCCTTTACCAGTGATTCCTAAACTATGTGTAATTAAGTCCTACTGATCTCTTAATTTCCTTCCCTTGTCTCCACCCTCATGCTCATCCAGTTACTCCACGTTTCCCTGCTTCTGCTCTTTCTGGCACCCCAAATTCATTTCCACGAAAGTTGCCCATTGAATGTCTTCTATCCTCAGCCTAGTTACACTTGACCTCTATACTACTGTACATGCAGCAAAGGCACACCTAGAAATGATTCAGCCACCTTGATGCCCCAAGTCTCCTACTCCAGAGACTTGGACTGTCGGGTAGCTGCCTGGGAGCAGGAACTGGGAATTCCTGTATTCTCTGGCTCCAAACCGTCACACTTAGGAGGAATTATTTCTGTTTGAGATAGCACAGTATGACAAACATGGTTGGCAAAAATTCATTGTGTATTTCTTTGTCTTTTTTTGGCCTTTTTGAGACAGGGTCTCACTATGCAGTTCAGACTAGCCTTGAACTCACCTGGTAGCCCAGGCTGGTCTCAAACTCCAGGGATCCTCCTGCCTCAGCCTCCCTAGCGCTGGGATTACAGGTGTGCGCCACCATGCCCAGCTTTGTCTATTTCTAAATAGAGAGGATAGTGAATGTTCCCAAACACAAAATGGTATTTTAGCTGACTGATGTGCCAAATACCCCAATCTGCATCATCATACTTTATATATATCCTGAAATGTCATACCATACTCCACAAGTATGTAGTTACCATGTATCAATTAAAAATAAAAATACATACAGTACTTCTTAAAAACCATGTCTTAGTTACTTTTCTCTCATTGCTGAGACAAAATACCTGACGCCTAGTTAAGGAGGAAAGGTTTATTTAGCTTAGTTTGTAGGGGTTTCAGTCCATAATTGCCTGGCTCCAAGGCAGGGCGGCATCACAGAAGAGAAAAGTTCATGGCAGGCAGAAGGTACCAAGACCAACAAGGGAGGATCACAGCTCTTTCTGTCCTTATACCTTACCCAGGCTACTTAGGGCAGGGTTATGGTTTGTGTCTGGATGTCCCCCCAAAGCCTCATGCAGTCATGGGGTGGGACTCTAGAGCTTATGATTGATTCATGGTCCAATGCTGGAATTATGGATGTGAGTGCTACACCCGCCCTGGGGCGGGTAGTTTGCATACAGTGTAAGGGAGGGAAAGAGGCTGCTTGCTGCTGCTCCTCCCTTTTGCTCTTGCTGTCTTCAGCTGCCATGAACTGTTGTCCTCTGCCATGTGCCACCCTGCCGTGCAGCCAGCTGAATATGGACTGAAACCTCCACAAACTGAGCTAAATAAACCTTTCCTTCCTTAATATTGGGCTCTAGGTATTTTGTCTCAGCAACAGAGGGAAAAGTAACCAAGACAGGCCGGTAGCATTCACACCCTTAATCCTAGTACCTCTGATCCTAGCATTGCACCATAAATCACTTCCAGCATCACATCCCCTAGATCCAGCCACCTCTGAAAAAGCTCCACCTATGACCGCACGAGGTTTCGAACAACCCAGAAGAGTATTACAGCAAGACAGCTCTTTTAACAATTTTGGTTAAGAAACAACTATGCAGTTTTCACATGTGCTGTTGAACTGGTCAGTAATTCCTGGTAGCTTTCATGGCAGTTTCCACATTATTTCAATCCCAAAGAGCCCCCTGGGTTCAGATACTCAGAACATTTGATGATACCAGAGAACCAATGGATTTTAGGATAGCAGATTTCAATTTTTAAGAATTATGCTTTCTTTATGCTCCTCAAATTTTTCTCTAAAAGTATATCAATGCTCAACATAAACAACTTTGAGTAAATTCAAAGTTCTACCTCAGAATTACTGAGCTCATCTGAGATAGTCTATAATTCCCTATGTTTGAAGTGGAAACTCTTTTTAGAAATAAAGAATAACTTTTTGAACTTATACTTTAAAGAATGTTCAAAGATAACAGCTAAAGCAGTATGCTGGTCCATAGTACCTCCCCCCAAATCCATTCTCTGGCCCTTCCCTATTCTATCTTATAGTGTAAGAAACCATTTTTCCCAGGTTCTCTTCTCAACTGTCTCCCTGGCAGCTTTTGGAGGCATGCTAGAAGACTGGACGAGGGAAAGTCTAAGTGTCCTTCCTCTCTTACTGTATGTCCCAGCATTCACTTGTATCTTCCATGGCTCCAGCTCGTGCCAGACTCCCTCACTGAGTAATTCTAGCTCCTTCTAGGTAAGAGCAGGTTACTAGACTCACCTCCTCTCATCACTGCTCCACTCCTGGGAGTGGTAATAACCTCTAGCCATTACTAATCTCTTCATAGTTACACTGTTCCACCTGGCTTCTCAACAACTTTGCCTATATAACAGGAGTCCTTGTGTTAAAGTCCCTACATTGGACTACTTGCAAATTAGCATAGAGATTCTTCAAAAACCTAAGAATAGATACTCCATTTGACCCAAACATTCCCCTCTGGGTATCTTCTCCAAACAGTTAAAGACATTACAGTGATACATGCAAATCCATGTTTATAGAGGCACAACTCACAATAGCTAACTCTTGGAAATGGCCTATATGTCCATCAACAGATGAACAAAGAAAATGTGGTATATATATATACATAGTGGAGTATTACTCAGCCATAAAAAGGTTAAATTTGAGTCATTTGTAGGAAAACGGACACACCTTGTGACTATAATGTTAAATAAATCAGATACAGGAAGTTAAATATTGCATGATTTCTCTTATATGGGAAACTCAAATTTTAAATAATTTAAAAAGCAAAAGATAGATGATAGGAAACGGAGACAGATCTTTTGCAGGTGGGAAGCAAATGTAGAGATGGAGGGAGAGGACAAGGAGGAGTGTGAAAGGGAATTAGAGTGTTAAGATTGGCTACATACATGTACCAACCCTCTGAGATCAATATATTCGTTATGTACTGCAAATATGGACCAGTAAGAAAAAAGAAAAAAAATGAATAAAAAAAATAAGTAAGAAAGACATGGTGTTTTGTTTCTTTGATGGGCCATGAGCAGTACACAGTGAGCTACGTTAAACCACTCTACTGTCTTTAAGATTATTAAAAAAATATCATCGGAGGTAACTATATTGTGGCCATGCTCCATACTGGGAAAATGCACAGCGGATAATTTTATCAAGGCAAATAGCAGTTATGAGAAGTTAGATTCTTCTTACCGAGTCCCAACTTTTTCTCCCGCGGTCTTAGAAGCTATAGGAATAAGAAACATTTCAACACAAATTTTAAAAATCTATTTAAAAACTGATTTTATTCTTATTCAGTGCATATTTATTTTAATAAAAATAGTTACATTTACAGACCTTAAAGCATAGTATGCTTACTATTTTTTACCAATGTTAAAAAAAAAAATGGTAACAAAACAAATAGTTTAACACAGCTTTTAAAGGAAAGCAACATTCTTTCATCTAAGCCTATAGGCAAATTTTTAACTTTTTCTGGAGTCATCTATTATTTAAACATTATTATCTTTGTATCTATTACTTGAGTTATCATTTTAAGTAATACCTATTGATTACTTCCTAGAGAAACTAATGGCTTAATTCATTCTCTTAACTTTTCACCCGTATTTGTTAGATTTGTTTTTGTTCCCCAATTCCCTTTGTGATTTTAAATACTAATAGCACTCTTCTTCTACCAACTTATCTTTACTTCCCATGTGGACAACCTCAGGTCATTTTCTACTAGGCCAGTAACAAGTTACATCCCTACCAGAAAGATTAAGCTCTTTCTCTTTTTATTTCTAGTTTGCCACATATTTAGTCTCTTTAAATCTTTTGCTTCATATTTGGACCCTGACTTTTTAATTTAGTCTTTTCCTTTTTGGCTGGAGACTAGTGAGCACATCCCATCCCCTTCTTGCATTTCCTGTGTATAAGCAGACTACCTCAAACTGCAAATCTCTAAACAAAGTATTTTCAGTTCAACCTGAACAGATTAATTTTTTCCCTTTTTCTTTACTACATGCACAGTACTGTAGGTCTCGCAGAGGAACAAAGATGGATACATTTCTGTTCAATAAAAAGAAAAACGTGTTCAAACAGTCATCTATAATTAGAAGTCAACGAGCAAAATCAGACAAGATATATTAGATCATAGTGAGATTTCATTTTTGTGATTGCTACTGGTAACAGTAGTTCCACCTTATCTTGTATCTACTCTAAAAAGAAATCTTTTAAAGCTAATCTGAGGGGCTGGGGATTTAGCTCAGCGGCACAGCACCTGCCTGGCAAGCTCAAGGTTGTGAGTTCGATTCCCGGTACTGGAAAAAAACAAACAAACAAAAAAAAATAAAATAAAGCTAATCTGAGATTTTCTATAGCACTATTTCAGCTGCAAAATGTTTCTTCTTAAAATGATCACATTATTACTCAATTTTCAAGAATTTCAAAGGCTCAACACAATGTAACATAACAATGCTATATACTCTTAAGAGCATTATGGAGTACTTAAAAGAAATGTGGGAATCTGGTAACTAAAGAGCTCCAAGATATTATTAAGAAGTACTAATGATATAAGAAAATTGAAGTTCTGTTTAAAAAGAAAAAACAGAAACTGGGTGTGGTGGTACACGCCTGTAATCCCAACACTTGGGAGGCTAAGGCAGGAGGATCGTTGTGAGTTCAAGATCAGCCTGGCTGCAAAATGAGCTCAAGGCCAGCCTAGATTATTAGACACACTACTTAGTTCTACACATGTATTCACACACACACACACATATATGTGCATACATGTATGCACACACACAAAAAATACACCAAAGTATCAACCCAAGTCTGTCCTGGGGATAGTACTGAAATGCAGAATAGGAAGTGCCCATCAAAGGCAACTTCAGTTTTCCTGGAAACATTTACATTTTATAAGAATTGATTTAAACCAAACATGGTGTTGCACCTTTAGAATAAACATCAATAGCCGGGCATGGTGGCGCACGCCTGTAATCCCAGCACTTGGGAGGCTAAGGCAGGAGGATCGTGGCAAGTCTGAAACCAGCCTGGGCTACAAAAGTGAGCTCAAGGTCAGTCTGAACTGCACAGCGAGACCCTGTCTCAAAAAAAAAAAAAAAAAAAGAGAATATTTGGACCTAGTGACTGCTTTTCAAAATAATGATTATTACTTTTTGAGATGCAAGTATCAATAGTTTCCATAAGAGATTACTGTACTTCTGGAGGAGTAAGAATTATTCTCTATGGGGGGAGAAGGAGCAATTTCATGCTCCAGAGGATATCTGACAACATCCTGATACATTCCTGGTTGCCACACAGAAAGGAGGGCTGCTGCTACCTGTGTCTAGAAGAGAGAGGCCATGGATGCTGCTAAACATACATTACACAAGAAATCTCCCTCGTATCACGGAATACATAAACAGCACTGAGACTGATTTATAATAAACTGTAAATTATAAACAAATACCTAATGCCTGGAATGTGTTTTCCAGTTAAAAACTGTCTTTAATTATATGCTTTTGATCCAAAAATAACTTGAAGAACACACATTTTAAAGTTCAAACTAGTAATCAAAAATAAAATTTATAAAGTTGTTATACGTTCCATATTTGCCTAAGTTACTCCTACAGAACAACAACAGATTTCAAAGTGTGGTAGGAAACCTAAAGTTTAGCATTAAAAAACTCAATCTCCCCCAACAAGACTGTTCCACAGCTAAAAATTAAGATGTAAATGCTCTGGAAAGTCATTCATGTTCACATGAAAAGAATCATCTTTTCCACCTACAAGTTCTGAGCTGTAGGCAGTGTTCTCCATTGAAAGTACAAGAGTGCTTACAGAAAGGGAGCCAGAACACGCACCAATTGCCAATTCAGTGTCATGCTTTCCTCTTGCCATTTAAAAAATATTTATCTGCAGACACAGCCGTAAAAAATTCACCTAAAGGCTTACTCTTGTTGTAAAATTAATCAACAAGCCAAAGATATGTACGATTGTAAGCACAATGAAAAAGTAAATCCTAAGGGCATAAGTTGCTCTTTCTCAGTTTTTAGCAAATAGACTGCACTTAAGCATTACTCACTTATCTTACCCCCACATAAACACAACTCAAGACAGAAAAATGTTCACGTACTTACAATTTTGTCTGATCCATAGATCTTTTCCAACTGTTCAGCAACATCCCTTGTTCCATCTGGGCTTCCATCATCTATGATTATAATTTCATAGTTGAATCCACTAAAATAAAAAAAAATTGTATTACTGTTTGGAAACAGAATTTCAAATTTTAAAACAGTCTAAAAAGTATTAATCCTCACAAGTGAATGTGTGGATTTCTTACCATATTAGTCACTCAGGAAAACTTCAATTATCAAATGTTAAAGATTTGGTCCTTTCTAAATCTAGTATGTTGCTAAAAAATCCTGTTGAGACATTGTTTTCACTTAGAAAATATACTTTCAAATGGAAAGAAAATCATAGCTTACATGTATGACACATGATACCCCATAAAATTGTATTTGCCTACTTTGAAAATGAAAGTGTGAATTCTTAACACCAAATCTTAGTTTCACAAAATATTTCAAAAATACTTTAAATGGGCAAGTCAAACTAAATCCTGAGTAACTATCCTTTTAAATTTTATACTAACACATTAAGTAATAATCAGGAATAAACTGCCAGCTTTACTCTTTAAAAAGTTTAGAATGGTATCACAATCTCTAAACCCCTATTTTAAAAATCAACCATTAACCCACACTACCAAACTTAAAAAAAAAAAAAAGACCTAAAAAGCACAGTAGAATTATAGGACATTTTACTGTGAATCAGAATCAACATTTATTACTTTCCATTGATTTTATATGATAATTTCTAATCTAAAAACAAGCCAACAGAATATTTGGGGGATTAATACTGCATAAATGCATGTTTGATCACTAACAGGTCTCCCTCTATTTGCTCCCACCCCACTTTAAGACATTAGGAAATTTAAGGGAAAAGAAAAAGTCGCAACAGTTTCCTCTTCATTTTGCTTTAAGAAACACAAGCAAGGAAATAAACCAAAAGTGACATTCTGTCAAAGGCTTTATAAAAGGACCTACTAAATTTTGAAGAAACAAAACCCTAATTTTCTCTTTCAGGAACAGATACAATGACTTCAGCTCCCCACTGTGCCTTAACTTTGGAAATACGACCTCATCCTGCCAAAACACTAGGACCTGGATTCTAGCTAAAGAGGTTATTTCGTAAACAAAAGTCATTCATAAGCAAAATAATTCTCCTCTCCCTCCACAAACCAGCTAAATCACCTACGGTGAGACAGCTTAAGGAAATAAAACAGCTGTCAAGTAATTTGCATCTGAAAAAGTTTCCTTTTTTGATATTCAAAAGACCACCCAGAAACCACTAAAAATAAATTGCACTACATAAAAGAAAGAATAAAGAAAAACTCGTAAAATAAGAATACAAACCCAGAACAAGATGGTTAATATCTCTAATTTGGAAAGAACTTGCAGAATCAAGTGGAAATAACAACTAAATGAAAAAAAAAAACTTTGAGGGGTCACGTATGTGCAGAAAGTTATTCAGTGTATAATCAAAACAGCAATAAATACTGCCAACGCTGTAAGTCTAGCAATACTCAGGTTGCCAAGGTGTTTGCCAAAACATTAATTCAATAAAAGCAAACCCACTACAATGTATGTCAAGCACTTTTCTAACTGCTAAAAAACATGATGCGAACAAAGTCCTTACTCCGCTTACAAAGCAAAACCCAAGTAAAAAACACTGGATATTACCTGTATTTACTGACATGATCGGGCTAAATAAATACCATATATCCTTATGGAATAAAATAATTTGCTGTTGTGTTGATAGGGAAAAATCTTCAACAGATTTTTACAGCATGATCCCATTTGTTTAAAAGCAAAACAGGTTATTCCCTACTGATAGGAGGATTTTCTGATTTTTTTTTTCTTTAAAAAATTGCGTAACACTTCCAAATTCAAACGCCAAAATTTTCCTTTTTTACCAACCACACCTAACACCCTGAAGTGATGAGGTAAGATGCCCTCTTTGTCTTTTCCAGAAAGAGTATCCAGCCCAACAGTCAGCAGCAGTTCCCTAACCCTACAGGCCAAATCTCGTGCTTACATAAGCAAGCAGTCGGCACCGGGGCGGGGAGTGATCACGCTCTCTTAGGCTCCCGGTACCGGCATCAGATCGCAACCAGGTACGAGTGAGGTCAGGCTTTCAGCCTCACTACGGAGGCGGGGGGGCGGGGGTGGTAAGAAAAAGGCGGAGGAGGGCAAGAATTCATAACAAAGATAAATGAGTATCTCACAAAACCCAGGAGCAAGAATGAGAACCCAGGACCCGAGGAAAACCGCGATGCGGCCGCCTTTGCTCGCCTCGCAGGGCAGCCTGCCTCCTCCGGGCTTCCTACGCGAGCAGCCTCGCGCAGCTAACCGCCGACACCCGGGCGGGGGAAGCCAGCTCGTCTCGGGCCTCGAGGAGAGCGGCCGGGGGCGCTACCTCTCGGAGAAGTTTTTCACCAGCAGCCACACGATGAGAGGTAGGTTCTCGCGCTCGTTGTAGGTGGGTAAAAGCACCGAATACTTGTCCTGCGGCGGGGAGCGACCCGCCGGCTCCCGCCGAGAACGGGCAGGCGTACCAGTCGCTGCCATTGAGACCATGGCGGAACTGCGCTCGGCGCCGGAGGCGGAATTTCGTATGCCAGGCGTGGGCCGTACCAAATGCGGGGAAAAGGGGGTGGTATGGGTGACTGAGTTCCACTCTCCTCGGGCCTCTTTATGCCTCTCGACGGTTCAGTTGTAAGTACTCAGAATAGATGGATCTTTTAAATTGAATCGGAGGCTTATCCAAGAAATACCTTTTTATTCATCCCCTTTATCAAGCTCCAGGAAAGTTTTTAGTTTATTCCATCGCTGTCAGACAGGAAGCCGGAAACGGAAGTCATTTCGCGGCAATTTCCGGGAGAAGTCGCCATGGCTTCGCGGGAAGAGGTACTTACCCTGCAAGCTGCAGTTGCCCAACGTGAGGAGGAGCTGAATTCCCTGAAGCAGAGGCTGGCGGCGGCTCTTTTGGCGGAGCAAGAACCGGAGCCAGAGCGGCGAGTTCCTGTGTCGCCGCTGCCGCCGAAGGCCGCCTTGTCCCGAGACGAAATTCTGCGCTATAGCCGGCAGCTAGTGCTGCCAGAGCTGGGCGTGCGGGGACAGCTACGCCTGGCTGCCGCGTCTGTCCTAATCGTGGGCTGCGGTGGGCTTGGCTGCCCGCTGGCGCAGTACTTGGCAGCAGCCGGCGTGGGCCGCCTTGGCCTTGTGGACTACGACGTCATAGAGCTAAGCAACCTGGCTCGCCAAGTGCTACATGAGGAAGCACTGGCTGGCCAGGCCAAAGCCTTTTCGGCGGCCGCCTCTCTGCGCCGCCTCAATTCGGAAGTAGAGTGCGTGCCCTACGCCCAGGCCTTGAGCCCAGGCACGGCGCTGGACCTGGTCCGCCGCTATGACGTGGTGGCCGACTGCTCTGACAACGTCCCCACCCGCTATCTGGTTAATGACGCCTGTGTGCTGGCCGGCCGGCCTCTCGTGTCGGCCAGCGCCCTACGCTTCGAGGGCCAGATTACAGTTTACCACTACGACGGCGGGCCTTGCTATCGCTGCGTATTTCCCCAACCTCCCCCGGCGGAGACCGTGACCAATTGCGCCGATGGCGGGGTGCTCGGTGTCGTAACTGGGGTTCTGGGCTGCCTGCAGGCTCTGGAGGTGCTGAAGATCGCTGCGGGCCTGGGTCCCTCTTACAGTGGAAGCCTGTTGCTCTTTGACGCCCTCAGAGGGCATTTCCGCTCTATTCGGCTGCGGGGGCGCAGGTCTGACTGCGCGGCTTGCGGGGAGCGGCCCACTGTGGCTGATCTGCAGGACTACGAGGCCTTCTGTGGCTCCTCGGCTACGGATAAGTGCCGCTCCCTGCGGTTACTGAGCCCCGAGGAGCGGATTTCTGTCACCGACTATAAGCAGCTTCTGGATTCAGGGGCACCCCACCTGTTGCTGGATGTAAGGCCTCAAGTGGAGGTGGACATCTGTCGTTTGCCGCATGCCCTCCATATCCCTTTGAAACATTTGGAACGAAAGGATAGGGAGAGCCTAAAACTCTTAAGAGAAGCCATTGAGGAAGGGAATCGAGGCACGCAGGAGGGGGCTGCCTACGTTTATGTGATTTGCAAACTGGGAAACGACTCCCAAAAAGCCGTAAGGATCTTACAGTCTCTGACAGCAGCCCAGGAGTTAGGTTCTCTAACAGTTCGGGATGTTGTAGGGGGCCTCATGGCCTGGGCCTCCAAAATCGATGAGACATTTCCACAGTACTGAGGTGCCTGGTATGGTCCGTGTGGATTGCTGTAATACCTCCAAGATATATTTATTTGCGTTTTTCTCAAAACTGTAACGAAGAGCTTGGGATTCCACAGTAACTGAGAATATATGGGATCTTTTTTATGAGGAACTTTTTGATTGTAGTGTATCAGAGGACTTACAAATGGAGTATAATACAGTACCTGAGAACCAGCTTGTGTCTTCATCACTCACAGAGTGTCTTAGAAATGTAAGATACAACACGAAAGGATTTTACGTTTTAAACTACACATCATTTATCTCTTTTTGGTTTCATTGAGAGAGATTCTCACTCTGTAGTTCAGGCTGGCCTTGAACTCACTGTGTAGCCCAGGCTAGTCTCCAGCTCAGGCAATTCTCCTGCCTCAGCCTCCTGACTGCTGTAATTATAGGCATGTGCCACCATGCCTAACTTGTCTTCTTTAATTTCCACTTTCCCCAATTAAAAAGCTCACTACATTGTCCATTTTATACTTGGAATTCAGATGTAGTAAGCGTAGCATTACTGAATTGATTACAGATTATATACTTAGGGTCAGTTTGTTGTTAAGTGAGGTATTTTCTGGTTCTTACTTGGACTGCAAATGAGAATATATCCTACAGAAATAAATGTGTCATATGTAAACTGTTTTAATCATCTAGGAAGTGGTCATTGTATTAAATATTTTGAATGAATATAAATGTGAAATCCTTACAGGTTAGTAAAATAAACTGTCTTTGTAGTCATCAGTTGCTAATACTGAAGTTTCATGTTGTACAAATACATTTCCTAAACTGTATACTGGTGTTTAACAATCAAATTCAAAATTAAAATGGTCACGGCCTTTAAGTGTGAAACATTGTAACTCATTCTTTGACAGATACACTTAAAAGTATGGTCTGCTCTTCTCTTACCAAGTTGGAACAGGTTTGTTAGGGCTCCTTTTCCCAAGGCATTATGGGAACAAAGCTTTGGAGTGAGAACAAAGGTAGCTAACTTGTGTCTTTCCTTCATTATTTTAGGGGAAGCCAGTTGTGATTGTATTGGAAACAGGTAACTGTGGGAACTGTCTTAGTCACTTTCTCATTGTTTGGTCACAGTGCCTGACTCCCACAACTTAAGGGAGAGGTTTATTATGGTTCACAATTCAGAAGTTTCAGTCCATGTTTGTGAGGCTTAAATACAGAAACAGCGTGGTAGAAGGGCTTGAGCAGAGGAAAATGCTCAGTGTCACGGCAGCCAGCAAGCAGAGAAAAGAGCTGGGGAGGGAGATAGAACTTTCCAGGTCGCCCCCCAGTGACCCACCGCTAAGCAGGACCCACCTCCCAGCTGCACACACAGCTGATGACCTCAGCAATGGGCCAGTCTGCATGAGTACAGCAGCCCCATGTCCCAACCATCTTCCTAACCCCCACCAAAAACGTGAGGTTTTGGGGAGGCATTGCAGGGCTAAACCATCATAGGAACTATTTCATATTTTGAAGGCTGATGTCTTAAACTGAGACAATTGTGATCGTTCTTGCCAACCTGGTTGTCTGAGGCAACCGAAGCTGACTGGCTGATCAAGTGGAGAAGTGGTTTGTTAAAGTGATAAGTGCTTTTGAGAATTTGGGGGGCCAACTCGGGGGTATTCTAGGAATGTGCCCAAAGCAGACATGAGAACACTGCTGTGCTATCCCAGCAAACACTACATTGCTCACAACTACAGTTTACTATGAAGTCCTGTGTATCACTGCTTTCTAATCTTCAGTTCGCAATTTTAAAACAAAGTGTGACTTACCTAGTTGTTTTGGCTTCAGTGTCCTTTTGGGGTAAGTTGCTGAAGGTGAGCAGAGAAAAAGGTTATGTCCTAAAATTTTCCCTCTTGGTAACACCTCTGTTTCAAATCAGGTAGAGATATCAGGTGATACCATGGTCATTTTAATTAACGGTATTCTTACCCAATGCTTCCAGGTGAGGCAGGCCTTAAATGAATTAGAATATAACAGAAAGCTTTGGTGAGTTCAGATAGTTGACAACAAAACTTGTGAGCGAGACTGCTGTGTAGTAAGAGCAAAGGGACACAGTGCTTTCACAGTTTTGATTTCATTGCCGGCTGAGGCAGACTTGGTGACCTACCTAACGACCTCATCCCACCTTCTACTTTGCTGGCACGGATCAAAATGTTAGACACTTTTCTGCCATTCAAATACAGAGTTTGGATCTGGCTACTTCCTCGCTGTCCCCAAGACTTACTATACTTTTTAGTCCAGCAGTCATCTCTCCATAAAGTTTATAGTTTTTCAGGAATTGCACATGAAGAATATTAATTGGACCACCGAGTGCCAAGGGAACTATAAATCTTCAGTTTTAGAATAACAAAAGAGGTACCTTTAGTTGGGCATGGTGGTGCATGCCTGCATTCCCAGCACTCAGGAGGCTGAGGCAGGAGGATTGTTGTAAGTTTGAGACCAGCGTGGGTTACAAAGTGAGCTCAAGGCCAGCCTGAACTGCATAGTGAGACCCTGTCTCAAAAAGACAAAAAAAAAAAAAGGGGGAACCTTTGCAACATAGTAGCTATCACCTAAAGGTGTTTATGATAATAATTTTATTATAATTATAATTTGATAATTATATTTTGATAATTATAAATGTTCCCTTGATAGTTTTGAGAGTGGTGGAGGAAAATAGGACTTGTGGGTTGTAAGTTTCTATAATGATACAAAGAACAGTAGTTAACATACCTGTTTTTCCACAGACTTTAAAACAAGGGCTTTGCAAATTCATTCATGGTAGGGGGAGACAAGTACTGCAAGGAGGGTGGCCAGGGACCATGGTGAAGTAGGGAGTGCATCTAGTTGAACGCTCCTGCATGGTTTGAGCCACCTTGGCCTTGCAGGAAGTGACTACACAGTTTTGCCAAGACTTTCAATCATTTAAGAATACCTGGGGCCAGGTGTACACCTCAGTGGTAGAGGGAGTGCTCAGCGTGCATGAGACCCTGAGTTCCATGCGCAGAATAAAACCCATTGAACCAATATTGGATTTTTCCCCATTTTTGTCTTTTTGTGGTACTGGGTATGAAGCCAGAGCCTCATGCATAATAGGCAAGCACTCTACCACTGAGTGACACCCTCAACCCAAATCTCCTAATTTTTAAAGGCTGAGAACACATTTAAAGCTTTTGAAATGACTTATCAAATGCAAAACACTTGTCAGCTGGGTAACCTTTAAATCTGTTTTTTTTGGGTTTCTTTTGGTACCAGGAATTGAACTCAGGACCTTGTGCTTGGCAGGCACTGTGCCACTGAGCTATATCCCAGCCATTTTGGGGGGAAGACAGGGTCTTGCTATGTAATTTAGGCTGGCCTTGAACTCACTATGTAGCCCAGGCTGGCCCTGAACTTGCAGTGATCCTCCTGCCTCAGCCTCCTGGGTGCTGGGATTATAGGCATATGCCACCATGTCTGACTGTAATCTTTAAATTAAAAAAAGAAAAAAAGCAAATAAAAAACTTGAGTCTTTTAAAGTTTGGTGGACTTGCAGACAGCTGAATAGTGGGGAGGGGGAGGCAGAGTCTAAAGCTGTTTTAACAATCTAACACCTATATTCTAATATGTAATTTGTGGATTTAAAATTGTTTTTAATTTGTAACAATAGGCTAGTCATCTCAGCCAGTAAAAGTTATAAAAAAGTGTTTTTTGCTGAGTTATTTTATTTTTATTTTTTGCTGTATCATTTTAGTGTCAGTATGTACAATTACTATCATTTGAAATGATTTGAGACTGATAGTTTCAAAAGACTAAAAAAATTGGAATAGAGATGCTACATACACTCTTCTTGAATCAGTTTTTTTTGCCTTTCTCAGTATTTTGATGAATTGGTGATTGAATTTAATTCATGAGAAAATGTACTTGCATAATATATAATCTGCATGAGGACAGCAGGGTGTGATAGAAATGAGTTTACAAATGATAGTTTTGGAAATTTGTACCTGTACTTAGACTTTTGGACAAATTTGTACTTTTGGAAATTTGTCTCAGGCTGAATTAAACCCATAAATTAACCCCTGATGACGGCAGGGGGAAAAAAGCAGTAAATGAATTAAGTCTTAAAAATACTAAAAGATAGATGGTTCATAATGATTACCTAAAAAAATTTTATTAACTTTTATTTTTTTAACTTCATGCTGGGGATGGAACCCAGGGCCTTATTCATGCTAGGCAAGTGTTCTACCACTGATCCTTAGCCTCAGTCTCCTATTATCTTTTTAAACATTTGCTCTAGTTTTAAAAAGCAAATATGGCCAGGCATGGTGGTACATGCCTGTAATCCCAGCACTTAGGAGGCTGAGGCAGGAGGGTTGCTGTGAGTTTGAGGCCAGCCTGGGCTATGCAGTGAGACCCTGTCTCGAAAGAAAGAAAGAAACAAAAGAAAAGCAAAATATGTTCTCAAAGTATCAATTGTATAACCATTATGATCATATATTTAGTTTAAAAATAGCTGCTTTAGGTTTTTGAAAAGTAATTCATGCTCTAGGTAAAATTTTCAACAGTTCAGATGTCTACCCACTAAATGTTATGCAGTGTCCTGGACAGAATCCTGAGACAGAATAAGCAAATCAGTGAAACACATCTGAGTAAAATGTGTTCATAATCGTGCACGGTGCACAGGTCTTGGTTTTGGTAAATGACTATGGACTTGTAAGATGTTAAACTGGATGGAGAGTATATGGAAACTCTATCTTTGTTTTTTTCTTTTTGAAACAGGGTCTCGCTATGCAGTTCAGGCTGGCCTTGAGCTCACTTTGTAGCCCAGGCTGGTCTCGAACTTGCAACGATCCTCCTGCCTCAGCCTCGTGAGTGCTGGGATTATAGGAGTGCGCCACCACGCCCAGTTTGGGAACTATCTTTGAAATGGAAGACAATTTCAAAATAAGAGGGGCTGGGGATTTAGCTCAGCGGCACAGCAAATGCCAGGCAAGGCCGTGAGTTCAATTCCCAGTACCAGAAAAAAAAAACCAGAAACAAAAAACAAAATAAGTTTATCAAAATAAGTTTAAAAATCAATAATAACATGTATAGAAAGTGGACGTCTTCCCTCTTGTAATCTTCAGTCTTTCTATGTCCTTCCTCAGACAGTCTTTGTTACAGTCTGGTTATGTGCTTATACATATAGTTTTTTTAGATGGATGTGTCACTATGTCCCCAGGTGGGCCTTGAGATCCTGGGTTCCCACCTCAGACTCCTGAGTAGCTAGGACTACAGGCTTACACCACCATTCCCAGCTACATATATTTTTAGAATTTTTAGAATTCACATGGTACCATTTCATTTACATTTTTCCTATCCCTTGCTTTTTCAAATGTAGCCTCGGGGGCTGGGGATTTAGCTCAGTGGCACAGCGCCTGCCTGGCAAGCGCAAGGTTGCGAGTTCGATTCCCGGTACTGGGGAAAAAAAACCAAAAAAAAAAAAAAAAAATGTAGCCTATATTGGCCACTGTCCCATTTGATCTCAGTTCATGTAGATTTACCTCCTTTTAAACCATGATTTAGGATGTCATTGTATACATGCTCTACAGTTTCTTTAACTAGTTCCTCATTACTAGACACTTAGGAGTCTTACAGTCTTTTTGGTATTTGTAAAATGCTTCAAAGAATAGCTTAGTATTTATATCTTTGTGTAAATGTATTAACAAGTAAAGTGCTTACAATGTCAGAGTACAGCCACCTTTAATTTTGAATTAATTTTGGCAGTGCCAAATTTCCCTTCAAAGGAGATGTATTAATGTATACCACCATCCTTTAAAAGGCTATTACTTCCTTTGCTTCAGTCCAACCAGGAAGAAGGTGACCTGGTCCACATCCTGACCCAGGAC